TCCGTTGAATCGGATAGAGTCGTCGCGGAACACGTGACCTTGGCACGAAGAAACGCTTTTTCCTGTACGTACTAATGAATATTTTATTGGCATGGAACGCCACAACGACGAGTGATAACGGGGTTGCGAAAACAATCGCGAGGTTGTCGCGAGGGTTCGTTTTTCGGGCGCCTATTTTTCTTAGATTCCATTAACAATGGCATCGACCGGTTCGAACCGTTTCGAGAGCTTTGGTTCTCGTATCGACTTCCCCAGGAATCGATACGTAATAAAATATCTGCGACCCGTGTCGACAGCCTGCCAGTTATTTGTTACATACGATGATTGTCGATGGCCGCGTTCGTTGAAATCGTTAAATTATCCATGACGAGTTTCCACGAATTGCACGGGTATCATTCGATTGAGACACGAAGCAAGTACAGGGGAACGAGTCGCTATCTATCTAAATTTTCAGAAATTTGATTTGGTCCGATCTGTGGATTAATTCTTTCGATCGATTTAATTTCTCAATTATGTTTTATTCTCTGTTAAATTTTGCTCGTAATATTATTTATCGACGGCACAAAAGAAGACCTTCGTACGGTCGATTAACCGATAATAATAATGATAATGTTGGTGCATCGTTCGCAATCGTGGCAGGAAGATAAGTAAGTAAGGGGTTCGATCGATAAATACGGAGCAAGTAGTATAGGTCGAGCAATGTAACCGACACTGTCGGTACAACCGTTGGACAGAGCTTTTCGGTGGCCCTGTTTTACCAACCGTGAGTGCATCGAGCTTCAACTCATAAAGCTTTCAATATTAGAAAAGCTGACTTACCGATCGGATAACCGGCTCACCGAGCGAGAGAATCACTTACCTACAAAAGAGAATGGTTCGATATTAAAATATTGCGCGTTCCTTCGAACTTCGTTATTGTTGCATCGCACTAAAGTGGCGTTTCGTGATGCTAAATACCGCGATATATAATAAAACGCATCACGAACACAAAAAGAAAAACGAAACATGCGGCCCAATTGAAAAATTGTCGTCATGCATCATCGCGTTTTCTTTCTTTTTTCTTTTTTTTTTTCTTTTTTTCATGCTGAAAACGAGAAACGAAAATTTTGAAGATTTTGAAAATCTAATAAACGCGATTAGATAATAAAGAATATTTCTGGAATAATAAAATCTAGATCTGAGTTTTCGTTCTTTCGACTTTTTTTTGCATCGCGAGTCCGAAACAACAATTCTCGAAATACAACGCAATACAACACTACGCATTCAGTGTTTCACAGCTATCGCTATTATTACAGTGTGTGTTCGTATCTAAAGCGATCTATCGTGAACAGTCTCGCCAATAGTGATGTATCACGATGTAATAATTTCTAAGAAGCTTTTCGTTTCGCTATCTACCAACAGCGAAACACGATTGAACGACTTGCGACCTACGTTCACTAAATTGCTACTGATCCCCCCCCTCCTCTCCAAGGGGAGGGGGATCGCATTCTAGCTGAAAGAGGTACTAAGAAACTAAGAGAGACGCCTAAGGTGTCTTTGTGCAGTGAACTTGGAAATTTTTGCGTGGAATATTGTACCTGCACGACAGCCGGCCCGCGATGCGCCTGTGCAATAGAAACACAAAGAAAGAACGTTATACAGACAGGTAGAGATAGAGATTCGTAGAAAGAGGGAACGGTATGTATGTACGTATGAAAATGTGCGCGCGTGTGTGCGTATGTGTGCGCGCGCGTGGCTGCGTATGAACAGAGAGAAACAGGGGAGGAGGAATTTCTTTTCGATCGAACCATGCATAACGACAACCCCCCCCTTCCTTCACAACTTTTTCAACTTGTTGTTCCAACTTGTTCCAAACTTGTTATTCGTTCGTTCGAGCGAAAAATCTTCTCGACGATTCCCGAACAATTTCCGTCCCGGAAATTCGGAAATGTCGCTTCCTTTTCCCGAGTTTTCGCATCTTTTTCCATCTCTTTTATTCGATTATTCTAGAGACACGATTGTTCTCGAACAACTCGCCACACCTCTTCGTATATATTCCCTTTTATCCCGAATAATTGGATAAACCGCGAACCTTGGCCCGCGTAGCTGGTAAATAAAGCGAGTGCATTGAGCGCAACGCTCCTCCATTCCATTTGGGAAGAGAGAAGGGGATTGGGTTGGTGTACGACGCGGTTGATGCTGCATTGTCCGTCCTCCTCGCCGCGTGCATACGAACGCGAACAATTTTCAAGAGCGTAACACTCACTGTACTATCCGGAATTCGATCGAAGAAAATTGGTTCGTTCGATAAGGTGAGGTAAGAAAAAAATGTGTCGTATCCATTTCTCACCCT